TTTATATATCTATATAGATACATCTATATAGATATATCTATATATAGATATACCTGTCCTGATATATATCTACAGATATATATAAATGCAAATTTATATTTTATGTGTTCTTCAAAATTGTGGATGGCATTTGTGACATAGGTTTATTAAAATGTGTTGTTCTAATACAGTCAGTTGATCTGGACATTACAATGTATTTTTATCATGCTCTTCATCAATAACTTCACTTAAAGTTGCTGGGTTTAAAAATAAATGTACTGCATTTGAAAGCAATTTTATTATAGCATTTTACAAATACAGTCTTGATTGACAAAATCCAATGACACAAAAAAGATAATATTAAAATAATAGCTTTTTGAGTAAAAAAAAAAAACTTCCCATTAGTTATATTAAAATCAAGTTGTGCTTATTTTGTTATGTATTGTAATAGACTTTACTTTGTACATCCACATCAACATTAAAAACACTCAAAAAGAAGTGTGTGCAATACCATGTTTAAAGGTTTTAAGACTTTATGTCATATTTACTGAACAAAATCTACAAACAATTCTGTTCTAAATTTCAAGACTTACTACAGGCACAATACCTGACTGATGCAGTGACTCAATCAGCCTCACTTAGTCTTTAACAGAACTTGACAAAAATGTGTCAGTAAACAGCCCAACATAAGCTTACATATATTACAACGATGACATTCATTTCAGTGAATGGCCAAAAACAATATTACACAGAGAACTTTGTAAAATGGTCAAACTGCAGTAAAAAAAGAAAAGAAATTAATACTTTGTAATATAAAAAAGAAAAAGTAACATCATGGAAGGATTTGTTCGCTGTCTGAAGGAAGTGGCACTTGGTGGACAGCAACATGAGAGGATTTACTTGCAGGTTCCCAGGTATCATCCCAGATTTTTCCGCTAGAAAAGAACAACAATAAAATCAGGATGTGGATTTTTTGTGCTGTAAGGTTCACAAATCTCTCTTTCTAAGATGTATACCTGACTTTAAAAGGAGGTAATGTAGCCAAACTATTTTCTCTGGCATTCACCCAAATGCCAGCTAGTAGTTACATCCTGTTTTGTCCTAAATACACAATATTATCTTGACTTATTAAGTGTTAAATGATAAACTGACTGCAGTCATTTTTACCACTACACAAACAATGAAAATCTCTCGTAGTGCTTCAATTTCTTAGAAAAGTCTAAAAATCAAAACAGAATAAAAGTGACAGTTTCAGATTAAATGTCCAGCTTATATGAATTATAAAAGGCACAGTGTTAAATAATAAGTGTTGAATCACTTTTAAAAAGTCCAAACATCAAAATCAGCATTCCTTTGCTGATAAACGGCCTAATTACGATATTTGGAGTTCTATCTCTATATTTCTATGTTTCTGTGCACATGCTGACTTTGTGTGAATTTGTTTCACCCAAAGATGTTGTGACTTAGGTGGTATAAGTACTACTGATTCCTGTTGTAATGCCCGTTTTTGTCCTCATAAAAAAATAAAGACAAATATAAAGACAGAAAAGGAGTCTGGTAGGTCAGTAATTAAAGCCACAAAGTTTATAAGTAAACAACTGCTTATTTTTTGCAGACCACTGCCTCCCTTATCACCCCTCCCCCCATCTACTCATCTCCACACGTGGCAATGTCTCAGTGAGCCTTGGCATGTTTGACTGGGGTGGGCATGTACTGTCACAGGGTGGATTAGTTAAACTTTTAGTCTTACCGCATTAGTTCTACGCCCAGGGATTGATTTTGTGTACTACATTTCCACCAATCTAAATAACAAGAAAAGGAAAAAACAATTTTAAAAACAAAATAAATGAAGTCAAAGCGTGTAGACTTAAAAACTGAAAACTAGTGTGGTGACTGTCATATTTTAAAATCCTTCTAAACTTTACTCTTTACATGGATTTACACATTTTCTCAAATTAGTTTAACATGAATTTTAACCACTTTACAATGGCCACATAAATGGAAACTAAGCCCAAAACAAGTTGTCTTTGCTTATAAACAGTCTATATAGTTTTTCTGTTTCTGTGAGAATTTTGACATTTTAGGGCTGGACGCCTTAAGTCGCGAGTTCAGTTTTCTTCTGGGTTCGATTCTCGGCCCGAGGTCTTTCTGCATGGAGTTTGCATGTTCTCCCTGTGTATGGTGGGTTCTTTCCGGGTTCTCCGGCTTCCTCCCACAGTCCAGAAACAAGACAGCCAGGTTAATTGGTTTCTCTAAATTCTCCCTAGGTGTGAGTGTGTGTGTGTGCATGGTTGTGTGTTCTGTCTGTTTCTGTGTTGCCCTGCGACAGACTGCCAACCTGTCCTGGGTGTACTCCAGCAACACTCCTGACCACACTAGGGACAAGGGTGTAAGAAAATGGATGAATCCACAGAAAACAAAACTTACGCCACCCTGACTTAAGGAGACGGCATGGTCAGCAGGTGACATGAATGCAGATGTGGCTGATCTACGGGCGGGGGTGGGGGACGGAGAGATGATGGAGTGGGAGGAGAGGCAGCTGGAGAGATGCTTCTGGGTCTTTTCTTCTTCTGAAAAGACTGAGAGGATGGGACAACAGGATGAGAAACAGGAACCAAATCAAGCACTATCACAGTCTCTTCCTGGTTCTCTGGTATCATCATTGGATGCTCCTCAGTAAGCATCCCAGGCTGCTCCTGACCTATGGTCTCTGTCTGTTCAAAGATCAGGTTCTCAGCTCTTTACTTCTCTTCATCTGGCTTGCGACAGCAATAAATAACATAGACAGGAGGACAGAAATGTGCCTGTACTGATGCAAGTTCATTTTTAATTCAAGTAAATGACCTATAGCTGCAATCAGTGTATTCAGACAAAGTTCATAAACAAAATTTAAAGATCATCACAGCCTAGGAGCACTGATGTTTTTAGCAACCCTCCAATTTTACAAAGTGGCATCAACAAGCATTACTATAAACACTATTATGTGACTCTATCATGGCTAATTAAACGTATTAAGCACAGGTACAATGTACAGGTACAATTAGCCTCCGAGAGGCTAATTCAGCTAGCTTCCACTGTATATTTTCCGGCAAAAAAAACGTTAACGTGTCTTCAACCATTCGCCTCACAATCCTACTGCCATTAAGTCCTAAAACTACCATCAGTAACTTTATAATGTGACACTCTCGAGTTATTTTTGGTTTTAGAGTACAAAAACATTTTGACAGATGAAGGTTTCTACTCACCGGAGTGTAAGTGTCGCATATGATGACGTCAGCTTATTCTTCTTCTTGGGTTTTTGTGGGATCCTTATTTTTATTTCAGTCAAACATATTAAAAGGTTTACAGAACAGTTTGCATGCAATCACAAAAGAAAATACATCTTAATTTTTCTTAAATTTATTTGGTGTAAATCATTGATATCATACTCAAAGGTAGTTTTTTTTTTTTTTAAGGCTTTTAAATCAAGCTAACAACAAGCACAATAAAACCCCTCCGGTTTTATATTTTCCTGAGTTATTTTTAAATACCGAATTAAAGTATTGTGACCGATACGTCTGATGTATTTGTAGTAAATATTCTTAATATCCTGTTCAAACTAGCACATAAATTGTAAATAAAGGTTTTAAAAAAAATAGAATAGAATAGACTCGTCATCTTACTCGTTCCTAGGTCGTCAGTATCGGACGCTTAGGGAGCGGTACAGCATTTATAATTGACGAACCCTTTTCGTCAATTATTGACGCGAAGGGGGTACCCTCTGCGTCAACATGTGATGCTGAGGGTACCTGCCCAAGCGTCAATATGTGACGAGTTGGGAGTGAGAATGTGTTGGTTTTAGAGCTTCTGCTCACTCACTCATCTGTTAAGTGGTAAAAGGTACAAGGAACAAGTTAAATATATAAATATGTTGGTAATTTTTTTCTTAATTCATTAAATGCTAGTAGAGTGGAGGCAAACAGTAGTCTGTAGCTAAGCTAATTATGCTAAATGGTTGATAATCTCACAGTCTACCCACTTCTCTTGGAGAAAAACTGGGTTATAAATTAACACTCTTGTTTTTTTTCTCTTTTTCTCTCTCTCCCCCTCTCTATTTTGTTTCTGAAAACCTGACTTTATAACTTTTCTGAGCAGCACAGTAACTGCCACAGTCGCCGCTGTATTCAGCTGCAACTTCAACTAACTGTAGCTGCATATGTCACTCTCAAGCGCTCCAAGTAGGAACGAACCTTCATGCAGATCCAGGGGTGTTCAGGGCAAAAATGGATGTGTGTTTTTGGTCTGGGAGGGGTAACATAACATTAAACTTTTACAGCTAAAAACAATCTTTGAAAATGCAATATGATTAATTTTGTATTTGACAGGACCCCGATTTTTTTTATGTCTATGAACAAAATATAAATAATTAAATTGTGGAGGGCCCCCTGCTGGTGAAAGCCCCTAGAATTGTCATCACTTTTTACCCCTTTACCGCGCCCCTGAATTTCGTCAGTTCGGATGAAGTATGTCAGGGATCCTGCGCACCTCGCAAGTGGACCACAAGTTCCACCGCTTGTGTCCCTCCTCCACTCTACTGGAACCTGTGATTCCACAAGACGCTTGTGCAGAAAATGAGAGGTCCATAATAAAGCCGGTGATTTTTTATTATTATTGTTTTTTTGATAACTTCATGTTTTGAATGCGGTGTAATTGGACAGATTTTTGACAATATCTTTCATATTTTGCTTCTAGGATACATACAACACATACAATTTTTCTCTCTGACACACACAAAAGACTAAGATTGAGCATTTACACTACTAAAATATCACACACACACAGCATACAGACATACTATTCAGAATAAGTTGAAAATGTGTGTGTGTGTGTGTGTGTGCGCGCGCACGTTTGTTTGTAATACCTTGTGGGGACGATTTTCCTGACATATACTACGTTGTGGGGACCAATTGCTCCTTGTGGGGACCGGAGCCTTGTCCCCACATGGGGAAACCCTGTTTTAGGTCAGGGGTCAGTTAGGACCAAGGTATGAATTGAGAAAACATAAATCGGAGCCCCCCCGCACCCCCCCGCACCCCGCCCCGAGGCGACGATACGTGAAGTGTAAAACTCGCTACATTTACCTCGTTATGTGCGAGAGGTGAAGGAGCGTGAGACGCGCTGAAGCTTATGGGAAAACATAATCGCCGCGTCGCCCCCTCCAGACGGGGTTTTGGCGCCCCCCCTGGTGCTGCGCCCCTATGCGTTGCATACGCTGCATACCCACTTTTTGCGCCTCTGACCTCAATGCATTTGTGGCAATATTTGGTGATCCAATCATGTCTCACTCTCTTCAACACTGTCAATGTTTCCCCAGTTTGTCAGATGCTTCACACTTGAAAAATCAAAACACTGAATTTGTTTTATTTAAAATCAAGGATTCATATGTCTCCAAACTAATACCTTCTGGAAATTGGATCATCCTCATTGCTACTGTCATCTGCCACAGCTGGTGTCCTGTGGACTCATCTCAGTGACCCTTGGAATGTTTCAGCTTACCTCCTATAATAGCCTGGATTTTAGAATCTGACCCCTGATTCTTTCAGATTGATATACACATATATCAATCCATCTACCTTACATGCTTATCCCTAGTAGAGTTGCGAGGGGTACTGGTCTCCAGCGGTCAATGAGCGAGAGGCAGGGCACATCCTGGACAGGTCCATTGCAGGGCGAAACAGAGACAGATATAATCAAGCATGCACACACCTAAGGAGAATTTAGAGAGATCAATCAACCTAAGTCACGACCTTCTTGCTGCAAAGCAACAGTGCTACCACCAACTGCACCACTGTGCAGCCCCACAATATATATTTTTCTTAAATTGAGAAGTGTGTATTATAAAATAATACGTAGAAATGACATGAAATCTATCTAGGGAAAACTGCACAATATTCAACCTAGTAATAGAATAATATACAATTTACATAATTTTAGGCTGAAAGGTACATAAGCTTAGACATAAGGACAGTTGCCAAGTGCTTGTGAGAAGAAAGACTTCTCATCCCCTTCTGCTCCATTCTTTCCAAACAGCTCCTGACTCCTGTTTTTGGTTCTGGGTTTCTAATTCTTTGGCTGTGAAGGCTGGAAGGACGACCTCATCTGGCGAGTCCATCTCTTCAGCAGAATCAGTGGCTGAGTTCGGTCAGCGTCCTCCAACCAAGACCCTGCATTTGACCTCTTCTAAGGTTTTGAAGATAAAAACTAAAATCTACAAAACCAATTAAAACTCAGTAAAACTCAGTAAAATAAAATAAACATTTATTATCATTGAATTCAGATCATTTGAATTAAATTATTTGAATTCAGATAACTCAGTTATTTGAATTATTTATTTTTCAAATCAATTATTTATTTGAATTAAATATTTAATTAATTATTTAATTCCAAGAATAGAATTAAAAATATAATGATACACACATTCCAAGTGTCCTTGTGTTGTGTTGTGTTGGATCATGTTGTCGGTTGCTGAAGCTGGTATGAGCCTCTTATCCAAGTTGGATTAGGAGGTGAAGGTTCAATTCCTGTAGATGACAAAAGTTGTGTGAGATTTTTATAATCTTTGCCTTTTCCTCTTCCTCACCAAGAATGTGAATAGATCTGAGCTTATTTGTGACAAATAAATATTTTATTTAAAAAAATCTGCATAAACTTCAGCATGGTTTATTTAATTAAGGGACGTTTTGTGCCTTAAGACTTGATTATCATGTTTTTCAAAGTGTTTTGTAAAACTGTCATAAACCAGATATCACACTAAAGTAATACAAAAACATCCAATTTAAGAAAACCGTGGAAGAACTCCCTTTCTTTGCAGCTAACAATATAATTACTCCCATGCATAAACTTACTTTGTCTTTTAGCCCTACCCTCCATGACCTCTGCTT